TTTCCTTCTCCTTGGGCATTTCAATAGCCCCAGCGTTAAACTTTCACCCGAGGCTGAAGAAAAGATCCTGGGGATTCACGTTCACCTTTTCTGTCCTGATATTCAGGCCTCCAGGGATGAGGTGTTTGGGTCTCCATGTTGCAAAGCCCCCCCCCCCACCTCCCTGTGGCTTATTTGTGCGGTGCCCCCACCTCGTTTACTGCCAGTGACATTCAGATGAATAGCCACTGTCAGCCCTCCCCGGTCCTGCAAAGAGGAGGTGTCGGCGTGATTTATGACACTATCTCTGGGAGGCCGTTCCCACATTTGGTGGGCAAGCAAGCGTCCCACCTCCGCAGGCAAACAGGGCCTCCCCCTCTCCATCCATCTTCCCCCCCCCCCCCGTTTTCCCCCCGGGGGGGGCGGGGGGGGCGGGCCCAGAGAGGGCCCCCCCCCCACGGATGCCCCAGGGGGAGGGAGGGAGGCATCACCAGGGAGCAGCTCAGCTCTTGATGGGCTCCTGGGTGATGGGAAGGGTTAGGGGCCTTGGCACTGCCCTCTCTTGCATGGGGCAGCGTGGGGGGTGGTCTCCCAGGTGAGAGATTCCCCCCCCGGCCCAGCAGTGCCCCATGGAGCCCCCTCCAAAGGCTGCATCCACGGGAATTGCTGGGTTCCCTGAAGCCCCCCCCCCTTTCTTGGCCAGCCCCACGGATGTGGGGAGGGAGAAGGAGCTGTGACGCCTGTTGGTCTTCCTGGTTTTGCCACAGCGGCGGCTTTGAGGAGTCCCCGAAAAGGTTGCTGCCTTCGCTGAAAGCTCTTCCCTGCTTTGCTAATGACATCGTCACTGGAGCAGCTTGACAGGACGGGCTCCCTCCACCCGCCACCTCTCCCTCTCTCCCTCTGCCCCCTCCCTCCAACTCCTGGGCCAGGAGACCTGCCTGGCCTCCCTCCCTCCCCCGGGCGGCCTCCTCTGTGCCCCCAGCCCCGCACAGCTTGGCCGCCAGGAGCCAGCAGGGCTTTGGCGGCGGTTCCTCTCCAGAGCGTGGCCGGTGCTAAATGCCGCAGGTTTGTCAGCGTAATGGAGTGCGCCCGGAGGCAGAGATGATGCATGGATTCTCGTGCGGATCCATTACGATAAATACCCCAGGGAAGATTTACTGGGGGCGGGAAAAGGTCTCCCAGCTGCCGCCTTCTCTGCCTTCTTCCTAGGCGGGGAGGAGAGGAGCTCAGGAGCAGCCACCTCTCGCCCCCCCCACTCCCAAATCTTCCTCGGCCAAAGTAAAAGAGTTGTGCGAACGGCACTGGGGCAGCCGGTGGGCAACCAGATCGCCTGCACTGAAGGCCTGAATGACATACGAGGGGAGGAGAATGCTTGCCAGCCTCCCCCCCCTCCCCCCTCTGCAGCCAGAGCCAGGCCAGGCCCCGAATCAATGAAATGTTAACAGCTAATTAACCTTCAAGGGACGACCCTTCAGCCAAGGCGCCGGGCTTTGCGCACCTCCCTAGGCTCCGTGTCCCTTCCTCCGATTTGGAGGGCAGGCAGGCTGGCAGGGAGGGAGGGAGGGCCAGGAGACCCCCACCCCACCCGCTCAGGGCACTCTTTTCCCTACAACCCATTTCAAAACGGACCCACGGAGACGGGAGCTCCCTTGACTGAAGGAAGTTGGGAAGTTGCAGGCGCCAGGACAGAAGACACTGCAGGAGGTTGATTCCGCTTGGGAGCATTTCATCAGCTAGGAGAGTTTTAGGAAAGCCTGCCTAGATATCCTCATTTAAACATTTGCTTCCAAAGCTGGTGTTTTTTCTTTCCCCATCTGACAAGCCATGTTTTTTAAAATGCATTTAGCAACGTTTCTGAGACCGGAAGGGTGTCAGGTCATCCGCTGACAGGACGGACCTCATTTTCTCTTTGATAAATCCTTGTCAGTGAGGTTCAGTGTTCATGTTAAGCCAGGATTCAAAGCCCACAACGATGAGAATTCACAGCCAACACTCCCTTGAATGCAACCGTTGTCCCAGGTCCGTCCATTTCTCCCTCCAAATTCTGCCCACCGGCTGTGAGGAGAGTTGGAGTCGTGTCGGCTCCATCAAAACCGGTTTCCTTGCAGGAAGAGCGGAGCCCCCATCAGCCCCAATGCTGGAGTTTTCCTCTTCCCTTCCCGCCCCTTCTTCCTTTCACGTCATGCAGGCCCTTCAAAAGCCAGAGAGTGGGACTGTGGATGCTCGACGGCTGAGCACCCTTCGAAATGGGGAGGCGCATCCCCACCCCAGGCCTGCCCCATCCTTTCCGGCCCTCCGGCCCCACCAGCTGCTCCCCCAACCCCCCCCCGCTTCGCTTTCTGCCAACAAAGCAGGGTGTGACTCCTCTAAGTTCCTATTTGTGTCATTCCCCACCTGCCACCGTGAATCAAACGCTCTGACACGTACACGCCAGAGCCCTTTCTTCTCATATCAGTAATGCAATTTCCAAGCTACATTGTGACAATGGGGTGTAATTAAGGTGTCAGTATATCATTTAGCCTTTTCAGTGGGAAAAAAAGGAGAATCTCCCTGGGTGGAGAACAATGCAAATAAGGGGAAGGCGGGAGAGCCAAAGCCAAGCTGAAGTTGGCAAGGACAAAAATACCTTTTTCACCCGACTCTCTTCCTCCCCGGCTTTTCCTTCCTGCCTGCATGGAACCAGGGCAGCGATTGAAGGGATTTCGGGGCTTGCCAGTGGGGGGTTCAGGCCTCCGAGCTGCGGCTGGGCTAGGAGCCCCAGGGCTTCCCACCAGGATGGCGCATGGTCCAGGTGAGGTGCCAGGGCGGTTTAGAGCAAGCCAGCTCTGCCAATTGATGCCCAGCTGTCAGTCTTAGAACGGAGGGCCAGCAATGGGTGGGGGGGCTTCTGCCTACAAACTCTTGAGGGGTCTGGAGCATCTGAGCCCCCCAAAGAAACAGCCCCCCACCCTGGCTGAGCGAACAAACTCCGAGCAGAGAGACCGTTAGTCCGGCTGCCTTGGCTTCTTCCTTGCTTCTCTGCTCCTGGGGTTCCTCTCTGGGCATTAGCTGGGAGTGGGAGGTGGGTGGCCTCCCCCTCCCCCCTCCTGGCAGCTGCTGGGGGTGGGAGGTGGGTGGCAAAGGCCCTCAGGCCACAGGTGTCCGGACCCTCCTCCTCCTCCTCCCACTCCCATACAGGCCGTTTGATCCAAGGGGATGGAGGGCCTGGCCCTGCAGCCGAGGGAGCCTCCATCCCTGGGAGAGACCCACGCACCCCCCTCCCTGCTCTCAGGTCACCTTGGCAACTTCCGGCCTCTCCCAACGGTGGTGGCCGCCCAGCCGGGCAGCCCACAGCAACCCTGAGCAATGCACCGGGAGCTCCAGTGGGCCGGATCCTGAAACAGAGGCTGGGCCGGTATTGGCAGCCTAAAAGGAAGCCACAGGTGATGCCCTCGCCGGTCCTCCTGCTTCTCACCTGCTGGACGGAGGAGCTCAGGAGAAAAGGATCCTTCCTAGCAGCCGACCACCAATGTCACAAGCCCCCGAGGCTGCCCACTGACACCAGGGCGCAAACCAGGCCTCCCTCAGCCGGAAGCCACCCAGGGGAGATGCATCTGATGGGGGGGGGGGGTGTTGCAGGGCAGGACAGGTGGGGTGAGGCCAGGGATGCAGCCAGGCTCCTCCTTCAGGGAGGGGCCAAGCGTCCCTTGGGGACAGAAGAGACAGACTGGCAGCAAAGGGAGTCAACCGCCAGCCCCCCCCAGGACCCTCCAACCCCCCCTCCCCCCAGTGCGTTGAGTGCCATCTCCCCGGCCTCAGAGGCAGCCCTGCTGCTCATGCGATGTACTTAATAAAAACAAATTAACCTGCATAAGCATTAATTTTCCAGCTACACATACATCCTGGCCTCATTAGAGTCGCGATCCCAGGAGGCCAGGAGTCCTGGCACGTGGTAATGAGGGTGTGCGGGAGGAGAAAGTCCCCCTTAATAGGGTTTATTGTGCTGCAATTGCCATTCAAGGCACACGGCCCCAATCCAGCAGGAGGCAGAGCCAGCTGGGGCCTGGCAAGACGGAGGCGGCCTTGGCTTGGTGGGCACCAGAGCCCCTTCGCTGCCCCTCCAACCCGGCACAGAAATTCCTCCACGGAGGGGGGGGGGTGTCAAGGAAGCTGCTCTAACCACTGCACCTCGCTGGCACGGGCAAGAAGCAAGGAAACAGCTCGGTGCCCCCAGGCAAAGGGGCAAGCTTGGGAAGACTACGCCAGCTGCCAAGTCCGAAGACCCCAAAGGCCTGAGGAGAAAAAGGGAGGTTTTCCCCCATTTTGCCCCCAGGTGCCAGGCAAAATAATCCCTCTGCGTGTGTGTACGTGTGTGCGTGTGTGTGTGTGTGTGTAGGGCACCCTCTTGCCTCCTTCACAATTTGCTCTTCCTGCTCTGAGTCAACAGTTCTGCAGCACCATTTAGAAAATGCCCCCTATTTGCAGGTATCTGTGTTAACCAGACGATGCCCTTCAAATGCCACGAGAGGAGGAGGCCTGGAGTTGGGCGCGGTTGGTACAAAAATGGCTCCCATCCGCAGCCAAATCTCCCTCCTGAATGCCCTTTTGGCACGCACGCACGCACACACATACACGCACACACACTCCTGGCACTCTCCGTGGCACGAAGCCGAGCGAGCGAGCGACAGATTGTGGCACAGAGGCAGGTGACCCAAGTGGGAAGAGGCGACCTTCCATTAATAAAGGCTAATTAGCACATCAAAACAGAACACTCCATAATTCAGGAAGGTGCAAAGAGGCCCGTGAACCCCTGGGGCTCCGAGCCCGGGTGGGCTTGGAAAGCAAGGCTGGCGCAGCAGCCAAGAGAGCCCCCCCCCCCCGCCGTGGCCTTCAGGGGGGAGGGCCTGCCAATACCAGAGGCTGAAAGGACCACCGCTCCCATTGTCCCCAGCCTCACCAGAAGGGCTGGTGGGTCCTTGGTTGGTGAATCCTGCAGGAAGCCCAGGGCGAAAGTTTCAGGGAAGGCGGGGGGGGGGGAGGGGGGAGATGGCCTGCTCCCTAGGGTTGTTGTTTTTTTTTAATTATTTGGGAAAAGTCGGCTGGTGCTTTCGGACTTTCGTTTTGTACGGAGGAACACCTGCTGCCTTTGGCTGCGTCCTTCCCGCCTTCCCCTCCTCGGAAAAGCCGCTCCCAGACCCGGCAGTCTTGCCGACGGACGGGCTTTCCGATCGGTCCGTGGCTGCTGTAGCTGAGCACCCACAACGCTGAGGAGGGGTGGGGGGGCCCTTTGGCTCAAGGCTTCATGAGGCTGCCTGGGGTGGGGGTGGGGGGGCAGGGTGACCCTTCCCCAGGACTCAAGAGCGTTTCAGCGGAGGTTTTGGACCCTCCATTTGTAAGTTTGCCCAGAGACAGGAACCTTGGATTCCCTGGTCCGGGTTTCATGGCGGTTTTACTTCTGCTTAATTTCCACCAACCCCCCCCCCCCGCTTTTCTCTCCAGCTTTCCCTCCGGCGTTTTTCCTCCGTTTGGAGCTGATCCTCATGCAATTGATCGTCCTCTTTTATCTAAAACGATAACTTGAGTCCCGCTTATCTATTTAGGCAGCACATGGCTACGTTGCTCCGGCTTTGCTCCGTTCCCGAAGCTGCCGACAGCTGCCTCCTGCCCTTGAACTCGGGAGCCCGCGTGCAAGCGCACATGGCGTGTCCCTGGCAGAGACCGGGCAGAGCTGCCACCTCCAGCCTCCGGCTGAGCTCCAGGGGAGTTGAGGCAGGGCCCAGAGCAGGCCTGGGGAAAGCCTGGCTCCCTTCCTCCCCTGCAGCCAAGTGGCTCTGGCTGGGAAAGGCAGCCACAGGAAGGATGCTGGCTTGTTTTTAGGCGAGAAGAGCTTGTTCAGGGAGGCCTTTCCCCTTTGTGTGCAGGATTCCTCCTCCTGCCCCTCGTGAAGACGGAGGCGCTGCCCATCCTGCCCTCCCTGCTCAAGGGCCCCCAGAACAACGGGGGGGGGGGGGCTTTCACCAGCCAGCCTTGAGGCTGCTCCCTTTCAAGGTGCTCCCCGCCCCAGCAGATTCCCTCCGCTTTTTGCGCCTGGATGCTAATTAAAAAAAGGCACGGATGAAAGAGACAGGAAAGAGTTGTTCTTGTCTAATTGCCACATTAGGGGCATTATATTTCACACCTCCTCTGCGCTGGTTGTCAGCTACTTCATAATCTTCGCTCCTGTTTGCCGTTTGGTGGAGTGTTAACAAAAGTTTTCCATTATGTAATCAGCTGCCATCAGAATCAGGGATGGGTGTCAAAGACAGCGCCACGGAAGCAGCCCACCCGGGTGAGGAGGGGGCCCTCACCGGTGACTTCTAAGCAGGGGGAGAGCTTGCCCCTTTCCTCCTGCCAAAAGCCCAAGATGGAGCCTCCCTGCTCGGAGGCAATCTACCTGCATGCTCCAAGCCGAGGACGAAGGAATTGGGTTGCCGGGATAGGGGGCCTTCCTGAAAGCTCAGATTATCCATGGTCGGAGGAGATGCAAGCTCAGGTGGAAACGGGCTGCCAACAGCCCCAAGCCCAGAGGAATCTTCCAGCACAAGAGGTTCCTTTCAGTGCCAGGATGGGGAGGGGGGCTATACTCTTCTGCCCCCCTTTCCCAACCAGAAGCGGGTCCAAGGCAGTATCCTCTGCCCTTCAGTGGCCCTGGGGAGGCAGCCCCCTGGCCAATTCCCCTGTCCTTGTCTGGGCGCATCCACGCCACTTGGCGCTCGTCCTGCATGGGAGGGAGGGAAGGCAGGCAGGGGAGGGGCCCTTCAGTTGCTCCAGAGGGAAGAGGTCCCGCAGACCTTGCGAGGGAGGGGGTAGCGGGGTCCCGGTCAGGGCTCAGGGCCAGCTGGGCTTGGGCCGGGCCTCCTGGTGAGCGACTCAGGGACCCTCGCGGTGCAGCTGCTGGCTAATCTGCCCGGTTTATGCAGCCGAAAGCAAAATGGCAGATGAAGAATCCAACTGGCCGGCTTTGAGAGGACTCGCTGCTGCACGGGGGCAGCGCCCGGCCGCTCGTTTGCCTCCAGAAGCAGCAGCGTCCCAGGCCCAGATACAGACAAGGCCTCCTTATATCCCGGGGTGCAGAGCGGCTGCGCTGCCCCTCCCGGCCTCCCTCCAGGCTTTCTGGCACTTGGCTCAGCCCCAGGCCCAGATTTTGAGAGGGAGCTGGATGGCCTGAATGCTGGGCCGGCAACTGAGCCCTTGACCACCATCTGGGCAGGCGCAGGGCAGAGGCTTGGGGAGCAAGGAGCCTGCCTCGGATGATCCGTCCGGACACCTTTGCTGCCGGGGGAGGCTGGAACTGGCCGGACAGCTGGCCGCTTCCTGGGGCAAACTGCTTGTCAATGGGGCTCTCCTTGAAACGCAGGAGGGAGGGAGGGAGCGAGCGAGGGGTCTTTGTCCCACCTGTGGCCGAAGGGAAGCTCCTGAAGACCAGCGGTTTAGGAAGGCCCTCCTGGTTGCCGGACCGCGCCAATGCAGCAGCCCATCCAGAGCTTTTGGGGGCGAAGCAGGAGCTCTCCCGACCTTTGACCTCTCGGCATCCAGAGGCTGGAAAGCAGAGCCAACCTCACTCCCACTCCCGTCCACGGAGTTTGCAGGGAGAGGGGCCAACTGGTACCCAGGGCCTCCCTGAGGGCTGGCTGAGGGCCAGGAATCCTCCCCGCTGCGCTTGGGGAAAAGGAGAGGGTCGTCCTCAGGAAACCCATTCCCATTTTCAACTTGGCTACGCCAACTGCAGCAAGGCCGGCCATAAAACCACACTGGCGTGTGCAAAATAGACCCGGGGGTTGTGCATCTCAGGAAGGGTCCCAAGAGGGGCTCTCTCCCTTTCGGGGTTCTTTGCAGGTCTGAGGGAAGGTATAAGTGGGGTGAAGCCCCCCCCCCAAGGAGCTAGGGACCTTCCCCTGGGATTCAGAGGGCTGTCCCTGAGGCTGGAGGTTCTCTTCAGCCACCCGCTGGGGTTCAGAGGCCACCCGGCTGCCTCCTGCTGCGACCCGAGAGCCAGCCCCTCACGCCGGCCCTCACAAGGGGATGGTTCGCAGGGGCACCGAAAGCAGCTGGAGGGTTCCTCCGCGGCCAGCCCCAAGTGCCGAGCCAGGCAGGAGACGGGCATCATCCCAGCTCAGCCGAGTGGAACCGCTTAAGTGGATTTCAAACACAAGTCATCTTCCTCCGCACGACAGGAAGTGAAATATTCCTCCATCATCCGCAGTAAATTACACCCGCTGGGCAGGGCGCATAAAGCATTCCTGCAGCCGGCCGGCCGGCCTGTGCGCTCCCTGGCCAGCCTCTCTGCTTCTCGCAATAAATCACCCAGCAAATGGCTGCTGGTCATCCAGGGCCGGGAGCCTCCACTGTGGCTCCTGGAGGGGCAACTTAGGGATGGATGAATCTTTGGAGGGTCCAGTCGACCCCGGATGGCCACGTCAGAGTCATTCCGCTCCCAGAAGGAACTTGATCCCGAGAACAGCTGGGCCGCTTTGGCCGCCAGATCACCTGCCCAGGTGGTGCCGATCGCGGGTGAAGGATCCCAGCACAGGTGCAGCAGCAGATTCCTTTGGCTTCTGCAGCCCATCCTCCCCAGCCAGGAGACCAGGCCCACCTGCTTCCCCCAGGGGCACAGAGCCCAAGCAAGCGGCAGCCCTTGGGGTCAGGAGCCTCTCCCCTCCTCGGTCCACCTGAAAAGCCAGGAGCCCACAGCTCACCCCGAGGCGCCCAGGAAGGGTGGAGAGGGAGTCCCTGCCTTCTGGAAGGCGGCGGAAGGGGAAGCGGAGACATCAACGCCGCTTTTCCTTCCGTGTCCGTCCTCCTCCTCCTCCTCCTCGTGTGGCTGCATTGGGGGAGATGTTATTCCTGATGACAGACAAGGGCAATTATCTGTTATCCACCGGCAGTTTTAGCCTAATTTCATTACTGCTGTGCAATCCTTCCCCGGCCGCTAGTCTATCAATGTCTCCCAGAAAGGATTAGCCTGCGTTTTCTTCCTCTTCAAATGAATTTTACTCCCTGTCACGCCCTTGAGGAATGGAATAGCCGGGGCTGCTAACCCAGGCAGGGAAGGGCAAAGCCAGGTTGAACGGCATCGGCTGGGGGTCTCGGCCTGCTCTGGTGGGCACCTCCCGGAAGCCCAGGTCCCGCCCGTGAGGGACGGGCAGGGGCCCCAGGGCTGGCTCACCCCAGAGGTCTCCTCCCCTCCTCCCTTACGGGGCAGCCATACCCCCAACACGGACGCCGGCTGGCCACGCCCCTGCTCTCATGTTGATGGACTCTTCAGGGAACCTCCAAGCATCGCTAACCGCCAAGGACCCTCCCTTCCTCCCTCCAAACACAGTTGCAAATCCTTCTCTCTCTCTCTCTCTTTTTGTGCACAGTGACGCCTCAACATTACGGTTTGATCCTTGAGAGCCTCTCCCGTCCCAGACCCCACCCAGGGCACTGGGTTTGAGAGACGGCCAAACAAAACACGAACCAGGGATGCAAACACACCATCCTGGCAGCGTCAGCACAAAAATGCAATATAAGCTGAGATTTAAAAGCTGATCTCAGGGGGTTGCAGGAGGAGGAGGAGGAGGAGGTAGAGAGGCTCCCTCAGGAGTGGCAGGACCCCCAAATTGCTCGGGAAACTCAATAAAGCCGAAGACGCATCGCACAGAATGCAGACTCAGCAACCCTGCTTTGCGGAGGGAAATGTGACCTGTGTTGAAATCCAGCTGACCTGGCGGCACAGCGACATTTCATCTCCCTTGGATGCCCCTCCGGAAACGTCCGTCCGCTTGCACTGCTGGCTCGCTCCCCCTGCCTCCTACTCAGCCTTGAAACCCCCACCCCCAGCCCGCTCCCCATCCCCCCCCATAATTGGACCCCATTTCCTAGCCTCCGAGCTCGGTGCCACTTTGGGGAAAACTCAATGGCCAATTATTTTTTAAAGAATTATTTAAAGGAATTTCTTCATATATTCATAATTCATATTTTATTTCAAGACATCTGCTGCTGATTACATTACATTTAACTAAAATTAGATGAAGCTCCCAGAATGTAATTAAGCCCCTGCCAAAATTCCTGGCCCACCAATACCAGCCGAGCACAGCGGGGGACGATCGGAGCCTAATATGTAATTAGGAGCTATTTTCTAGCTGTTTTTAAAGTCTGAAAATTAGCTGCCTTTATTAATCACACAGACAAATATAAAGCCAAGCCAATGCTTGCTGAAATTTCTAAAAAGGATTTTTTTTTAATTATACACCACATTGCACCGAGACTCATTTTGAATGTTGATTTGTTGTGCACTGACATTTTGACAACTACTTCTCAATTTGTCTGTCGTAGTTCGGCAACAACAAAGCCAACAGTAATACTTAACTTTCAAAGCCTTCACAGTGCCATGGGGGGCTCCCGGGTGGGGGGGTGGAATTCATGCCTTAAATCCATCACGGAGTAACAGGCTGCCACCGGTGCCCTTCCACGCTGGGTGAAGGAAGCCCCGGCCCACCTGCCCTGTCTCACCCCCTCCCCCAACTGAGGAGTGAGGGTCTGTCTGAAGCACCCCCCCCCCCCGTCAAAAAGGGGCAAAAATTGACACCCCCCCCCCCAGCAGATATTTCCACACCCTCAACAGTCACCGGCACCCAATTCTGCTCTTCCGAGACCCCCAGGCCCCTTGGCAGGACCCTGATGGACAAGAGCTGGCCCACGCAGCTTCCTTCCCCTGAAGAGAGCCTTGAGGTCACCTTGGTGGCCCATCTGGAGCGGAGGGTGGGCTTCCCAGGCCCAGGGGCTGCACCGGAGAGAGCCTTGGATCCGGCAGTACGGCCTTTCCCCTCCCTCAGGATTGTAGCCCTTGAAGGAAACGCTCTTGACCAGGGAGACGTCCGAAGTGGCTCACAGGGGGGGGATGAAGAACCTTCTCCGATACGCCAGGCAGTCGGTGGGGCAGGGCGTTCCGTGGGGAGCCTTCTTCGAGGACCCCGGCCAGCTCTCCATCTGGTCTCCACCAACTCGGCTCTGGCCACCATTTCACACCGTCCACAGTTGCGGCTCCTCCCACCCTGGGAGCCAGGCCCACTTGGAGGCCTCTAGAAGTGGGCTTTGGGGGGTGGGGGGTGGGGGGGGAGTCGCCCACCTCGTTCCAGTTCTCCAGGCTGAGCCCTAACTAGCTGGGTGGGCTTCGGCTTAGAGCGCAGCAGCCGCTGCAGGGGAGCTCAAACCGACAGGACGCTTGGGAGGGGGCTCTGGGCCACACGATCCCCGCCGGCCTCCCTCGGAGCTTGGGAGCGAGAGCGGCCGTTCAGTCCCCGCTTGGACATTTTCCATCCGGAGCCCTTTTCCCCTCTTATCTCCCCCAACGGCTTTGTCTCCCGAGCGTCCATTCAAAGCAGCCACTGCGGACATGCAGCCCCCCACCCCCCCGGGGTTAACAGGACGGGGGGGGCGCTGCAGTGGGGCCCAAGGACCCCCAAAGGATGCCAAGGGGCAACGGGAGGAGCAGAGAAGGGCCCCCGTGCTGGCTGAGTCCCGCCAGGACAGAGAAAACGGCTCAGAGGGTCTGACCAGATGGGGTGCCCCCCCCCTCCAGCAGTGGGGAAAGGTTGCCCCCCCAAAGGTGAAATCCAAGAATAACAACCAGGATGAATAACTGGAGGATGCGAAGTGGGGCAGCCCCTGAATTCCCAGAAATCTCTCTGGAGGCCTCTGCAGGCAATCGGCTCCCCTCCCACTTTGCCAATATGGGCTCTGTGTGTGTCTACGCTCCAAGAAGCCCCCACCCTCCGCCCCAAAATAGCCTGCTCTGCCACCTATAAGAAGTGCCCCCCCAGCTTCCCTCACAGCCCCCCCCAAAGAGCGGCAAGAACAGTCCCCTGCCGGGGGGGGGGGGGGCGGGGACCCTCCGGGGGGGGGGGGGGGGAGATCCTGGCCCCCCTTTGCAAGACCAAGAGCACCTCCCAGCTGCCCCGCCCACAACTCCTCCGTAAATGGGTCTCTGCTGCCCTCTGCTGTTCAGACAAGTGTCTGTGCCTGCTGAGAAACCTCCCTCAACCCAGCTGCCAGTCCAGGCCAAGCGGCCCTCAGACCCCGACAGTGGCTCTTGCTGGGAAGAAGCGCCCCCCCCGCCCCCCTCAGCCCAGGACTGAAGGAAGCCCTGACACAAAAGCCAAAAGAGCCACCTTTGACCCCAGCCTTTATTCAGAAGCCCACAACGGGGGGTCTCTCTAGCACCAAAAATCTGGAGTTGATTAATTGACCAAACACAACCAACGGCCCTAATGGCCGCAAGGGCATTTAAAAGTCCCGTTTTTCGTTCCCTTTCAAGCCACCCAGCACCCCATCAACGAGGGACCCTGCCCCACCTCCACACACCCCCAAGCACAGGCCAAGGTAAGGCAGTCGCGGCTGTGCTTGGAATATTCCCCAGGAAGCATCGAACATTAAGAGGCAAATCAGCAGAGACAGTTAATAGCTCCCATGGGGGGTGGGGGGTGGGATAAGAGGAGCCACTGGGAGGGAGCAACTCCCCCCACCTGGCCTGGCCTTTTTAGGGCCTGTGACCTGGTAGTGTGCAAAAGGTGCAAGGAAGGATTTACACTAGCGTACCCCCAAAACCCCTGTTAGCAGTAGAGCCGTGTCAACCGTGGCTAGGAAGACCCAGCTCCCTGCCCTCCCACTCCCGCTGAGTAGACCTGCGCCCTTCCCCGCCTGACTGACCAAGTCCCGCTGGGCTGCCTTGGGCGTGGCCTGGACGTCCAGTCCGAGTCAGGGCTGGTCCCAGGTGGAGGAAGAGTCGCTTTTCACGGCCCCCGTCAGCTGCCCTGCAACGCCTTCTGCACTTCCGCTCTCAGGCACGGCAAGGCGTGAGCGCTTACACCAGGCGCCCCGATGACCGTCTCCCAGCACTCAAACCCGCAGTGGGTCAGGTCTCGGATGGCCTCTTCCATCGCCGAAGGAGCGGTGCCTGCCAAGAGACAGTGCTCCCCGGTTAGACACTCAAGACAGCAGGTGCGATCACCAAGCCGCTCACCCACCCCCAAGCCCCCCCGGCACCCAAAGCAGCTTGGAAGGTTTGGCGCTCAGAATCTGCAGCCGAAGGAAATGGAGCTGCGGAGCCACAAAGGCTGGCCGGAGAGGATGGGAACGTGGGCTCACACGCAAATGGCCACAGCCACCCAGAGAGGCACTTTTAAGAAATAATGTGCAGCAAGGTGCTCTGAGCGACGCCTCGGAAGCATTTAAGTAGGATTTAAGAATGGTTCATGGTTGCCTTAAGTGTGGCCCTTAAGGTAAACCCTGAAGAAGTGTTTTCAACCTTGACAACTTTAAGACCTGTGGACTTCAACTCCCAGCATTCCCCAGCCAGCTATGCTGCCTGGGGAATTCTGGGAATTGAAGTCCATAGGTCTTAAAGATGCCAGAGTCGAGAAGCACCACCGAAGGAGGCCCATAAGCCTTTGAAAGCCAATATGCCCCCAACAGCTGCAGTGCAACACACCTGCGGGGCTCTTTCACTTACACACTTGATTGTGTACTCAACCAACTCACAACTTACAGGGAATTCAAGAGCAAAAAGCCAACCTGTGCAAAGGAAGGCAACGGCTGCCCAGTTAAGACTCACCTGGTCGCAGCAAAGTGATGGCGCAGCCGCCTCCCCCAGCCCCGGTCAGTTTGCTGTGCAGTCCGTGGGAGGAAGTGACCTCACAGACGCGGTCCAGCAGGGCGTGGCCGACCCCGATGCCGTTGAGGAGGTGCTGGTTGATGTCCACCAAATCCTGAGAGAAAAAGCAGCGACACTCATAGAGGAGAAACATGGAGGACAAGCGCTTCAGACTGAAATGAGCCGGGCTGGTTTTTCTGTTTTAAAAGCGGGCTCCTAGTCCTCATGGTACGAGGACCAAGGAAAGAATGAAGAGAAGGGCTTACCTCCAGCCTGGAGTAGTCTTCCTGCGATGGCTCTCCAGTCATTGCCTCAAGAATTCCTTCGCACTCCCGAGAAATTGCGCCTATGGAAGTGAGAATCGGCTCCATGATAGTGGGAAACTGCAGGAGGAAGGAGGATAGGGCAGGGGAGCAGGGAGAAAGAGAGAGAGAGAGAGAGAGAGAGATGGAGGAAGAGCAAAAATAAAAAGCATTAAAAAATCTGAAATCTTATTTAAGCAATCTTGGCACAGTTATAAGGTTTACTTTTCCTGCTTCTATTAAAGTTAGCAAGCACGGGCCCTCGTGAATGGCATCTTTAGGCAGAGCTGCAAAGAATATTTGGCTAAAATGATGTCTGAAAGGTCAAGGGTCAGAGACGCAAGCAATGCTGTTTAAAGAACTCTTGGCGCCCATCTCAAACACCCAGAAACAGGGCATCCGTCTCCTACTTCCTGGCACTCCACCCGCTACGCTTCTCATACATCCCCTCTCCGAATCGTTCTCTCCAACCCCTTGGTGAATTTTGACATATCTCCAACTATAAATTCCGGGCAGTCACAAAGCCTTGGAGAGGAAGCAGATGAAGTACCTTCAGGAGCTTGGCTTTAACCCCCGCAACCAGGACCTTGGTGCTGCGTGGAACTTTAGTGTTGGTGAGTAGAATCCGCAAAGTGGGCACTCTGCGAAGAATGAGACTCTTAAAAATCAATGGTCTGGGAATTGCTATGCAGTAACTAAGTGTGCAGACTCCATCAGGCACAGCCGGAGGGAGGGAGGTATGGCTTTTGTTTCCCCCCCCCCCAAGGACCTGGAAGTTTGCAGCCTGGGAGAGGGGCGACAACTTTGCCTCCTGACTTTTCCCAGAAGCTTCTCCACTGCAGGACGGTGGAATTACAAGCCCCATCGTTCCACACCCCACCCCCGGGGGAGGACTAAAGCATCTCGTAGCCTTCACTTCCGCTCCTGCGAATGCCGTACAGCCAGCGTCGCAGCGGGAGGGGCCTTCGCTAGCTAAGCTTAATCACCAATTAGAGCCACGGTTTAGTTAGAATTAGCTTGCCGTGTTGTAAGCACTCTCCGAACGACCCAACCAAGGCCCACATTTTGCAAGCCAAAATAACTTTGTTTTCTAATAACTGCCATCAGAATAACTGGTGTCTAACATTAGCTGCTAATAGAGCAATTTCACGCCCTGCGAAAGATTCTAATGAAGTTCGATTAGGCCAAGTTGGCAGAAGGTTGGGGGGGGGGGGGGGGGGAGCTGAGCCCTCGCCGGCAATCTCTTTTCTGAGCCCTGGCAACGCTCAGCATGCAAACTCTCTAATGTGATGCTGGCTTGCCGAAGGAAGCCTTCCCAGAGTGGGGTCAGGGGACGGCTGCTAGCGCTTTCCTTCGAAAACAAGGCTCTAAACTATCTTTTCGTGAAGGAAACACCAACACACACGATCATGCTAAAAATACATCTTGATGTTTAAAAAATTATTTTATAAACCAGCAACTCTCATTAAAACTATCTAAACATCGATGCTCAAATGAACCTTACCTTTTTAACGCGGAGATTTTTCCTGAAATATACCGCAAGGCACCACCTAAGCATTTGGGAAAGAAGGGAAGAAAAATAGTTCCCCTAGATGTTTCATCCTTCCGTGGTCGGCCAAATTGCTCCATTTCACCTGAACTAGTAAGACGGAAACATCTGGCTATAAAAAGCTTTATCAAAAACTGAGAGAAAGGAGGCCTTTCGGGGGTCTACGGCAGCCCAAATCCCTTCCTGGAATCATAAGCCACATCGAATGCGGTTCCCAGCTCCGTTCAGTGCCTAAGAGAGGGGCAAAGGCTCCTCGCTGCCCCCGAGCTAATTCAGAAGCTCAAAAGATGGAACAAGAGGACTAACCCCAGGTGCTCACAGCATTGTCCACTCCAGAAGGATTCCCATGGATCACCTGCTCTCCTTTGAAGGCTAACCTGTTGACCACATCCAGCTCCTCCGTGGTCCACCTGGAAGAGCAGAAGAGGCTTGGTTGAGCTCAGCCTGCCCCGCCTTTCAGCAGCCCCCCTGGTCCTCCTTTGACCTGTTGCGTCTGGTCCTTTAAACCGGACAGGGTGATCAATTCACCTGGGCCCCTAGAACTGCGATCTTACAAGACCCCAAATGAAGGGCTTTAAGGTGGCAAAAAGCTGCCTTAATACATGCCCAGTTCTACCTGGACAGGTGGAAACAATTTCCCGACTCCTCTCTTTCCCAGTTCCTACCTAGCTACTTCTTGGCCCTCCTGCAGAGGATAGCTGATGGCACCACATAAAGAAAGCAAGGCCGCTGCTAGGCAGACGGAGTACGCTGCGCTGGAGCCTAACCCAGCACCGGTGGGCAGCTCAGACCAGACCAAGATGTCAACAGCTGGCATAACCCTGAAAGAGAAGAACACTGCGAATATTAAGTTTTGCAATTTAACCCACTGCTTTCCTCACACTGAGCGGAATTTCCTTTGCTTTCACGATGAGTCATAACAGGCTTACAGAACGAGTAAGACCACAGAACCGGTCTTTCCTTTGCTCATTTTCTCCTCTGGTTTTTCTAGATGTGGTGCCTTAGAAACAAGTAATCTGTAAGAAGTGTTATATGTTGCCCACTCCTAGTTTCCCAATTTTTTTAAAAAAATAGATATAATCTACACCCTGATTTCATGGCTCACGAAAGAGTTATTTTCTGCAGATAATAACCCCACAATCCTGATTTTAAATTCATGTAATAAGCATCTATTTTTCCTCTGTTGTCTTTCGTCATCAACCTTCCTTTGCTGTACCCCATTCTTTCTCTATCTCTACCCGTCTATCTTGTACTGCAGTCACCTACGCATTTGCTAACCGCTCCTGACATTCCCAGAGGAGGGCAGGGCTGCTCCACAATCTCCATCAACACCTCCAAATTCTTCGTATGGAAATTGGGAAGGCGGGTTTGGGCAATCCTGTCTGCCAGGAGTGAAAAAGCCACCCAGCAAAGGTGAGACCCATCATCTTACCCGCATTTGGATGCCACAGATAAGTACAAATAAAGAAAGGTGGCGGCAGCTACAGTCTGGACTGCTTCGCGTCCGTTATCGCCCCCTGCAAACTCTTTCAGCTTCTCCACTTGTTCGGCGCTGGGCGGCTGCGCTTCAGGCAGTTCACCTGAGGAGAGAACACACAGCAGCAGGCATCACCACCTGTACCCAGGAAGGGAGGCGAGAGCCCTTTCTATAATGAGTGCCACATGCATCAGCGTCACACCATCAAGAAGTAGCAGATCAGTTTCTCCAGGGGCAGAATTAGAGGGATACAATTTTGATCGCAAGGGAAAGGCTCCCGGAGGTTCTGGGGAAACTCTCAAAGCCCCAGGAGTCTCGGGAAACCTGACCCTGTGCGGGTTCTCTGGGGCCGCCACCCGGGACCTTTTCAGGCAAAGCTGGTTTTCGGAGCCCCGCAAAGAGAGAGACACATCCTCGAGGAGGAGCAGGAGGAGACGCGGCCTGTTGCTGCTTGTGGGGCTGCAACACCCCCGGGTAGACGGTGCCCCACCCACGTCCACAGCAGCCGAGCGGCTCCCCAGAGGGGCGAGAGGGGAAAAGGCAGGAAGGTGGGACCCCACAAGGGCGCCCGGTGCCTACCGGAGGCGACGGCCGCCAGCAGGGGCCGGAGCTCGGGCGCTTCCCAGCTCCGCCTGCTCCCCAGGTTCGGCAGCTGCAGGGAGACGCGCCCGTCCTGCCGCGGGGTCATCCGGAGGAAAGTCCGCAGGTTCAGCGCCGTCGCCAGGGCCACCTGCGTCCCAGAGGAGGAGGAGAGCCGGCCGCGCGGGGATCGGTCGATGAAGGAGCGACGCAGAGACGGAGGGCCTGAAAGGGCCCCCCTCCCTCCCTCCCTCCCTCCCAGCCCAGAGCCCGGCCTCCGGGGGCCGCGAAGCCCTCACCTTCCCGTGCACCACCGCATGCTCGCCGTGCAGGATCACCTTCCCCGGGGCGGAGAGCACCAGGCTCCGCGTCCACATCTCCTCCCTGCCGAGGGAAAGGCGCCGTCCGTCCGAGGTGGGGGAGAAGCTCCCGGGGTCCCCGCCGGGCTCCCTGGCGCTCGGAGGCCCGAGGCCTGGACCCTTCTCCGCGCAGTGCATGCTGGGCCGGCGGGAGAGATGCTCACCTGTCCCAGCAGCCGCTCCAGGAGAGCCGAACAGTCCGAAAGGGCGTGGCCGGCGCTCCACACCCCCCCCCGCCCAATCGGCCGATGCGGGCGCCGCCTTTCCTTCCTCCAATTGGCCACTCCGCGCAGCGGTCCGGCCAATCGGGAGCCGGCGGGGGCTGCGACGGCCGCCGGGAAGGGACAAACTTGGTGGGGCGTTTCGCCCTCGTCCCCGGGCATGGCTGGCACGGGCTGGCGGCGCGGGGGCTTCCTCCTGGCGCGGGTGGCGGTGGGCGGCGGGGCCAGGAGCCGCGCCTCTTGCCGGGAACCGGGGCCCGACCCGCCCGGGTGAGGACGTGCGTGGGGGCCGGGGCCGGATTGCAGCAAAATGCCCCGGGAGGGTCCGCAGCAGGCCTGGGGCCCTGGGGAGGGGGGGGGGCAAGGGTTTTGCGGGACCCCCCAAAGGAGCCGAGGCTCTTCTCCCCGGAGATGGAGGCGGCCTTGGTTGCCTTCATGCGGCTCCCTTCTCTCCCCGCCCCGTCTTCCCTCTTCTGCAGTCCGGATTCCAAGCCCGGGAAAAGCCCCGGAGCCCCCAGGATCTACACCCGGACGGGAGACCAAGGTAGCCCCTCCAGGAGGCCCGCGTGGCCGTCACCCTTCGGGCCTCCCTTTCTGGGCCGAGCCCCCATTGCCTCTCTCTTGTGGCCTTTCAAGGGTTTTCCAGCACCTTCACCGGGGAGAGGAGAGCCAAAGATGACCAGGTCTTCGAGGCTCTGGGGACCCTGGACGAGCTGAGTTCGGCTGTCGGGTAACTGCAGATTCTTTTCAGCCCTGGTGCCAAAGTGCTTCCGATGAAGGTGCCACCTCCCCCTGTTCTCCTCAAGTGTTCTTGGCTGCCTGTCAGCAGTTGGGCCTTGGCACTTTAGCCAGGGGCAGGGAAAAGTTACCTTTGGATTAGAAGCCGGAATCCTGCAAAACAATATTAACGTCCCAAAGTAACAGCAGCTCAAGAGAGACTTAGGGGAGAAATGGGACAGCCCCATAAACTGCCTTCATAGTTACTGCATATTATCAGAGGAGAGGGAATATCTATCAACTGGAGTCTCTGTTCTGTTTTGCTGAAGCTTAAGTGCTGAATTTGGCAGTGAAAGCGGCCACACGTTTGTGGAAGAACTCCACAAGGTGAGATATAAGTTGAAGTCGCTCTTTCGTATCTGGGCCAAGCAGCGGATTAAAACCTCAGAGGCCTGACTCCCTTGCGGGTGATCTCTGCCTTCCCCACCGCAGGTCCAGTGTATGCTGCAAGATGCCGGCTCCAATGTGGCAACGCCCGTCTCTTCAGCCAGGGAGTCTCACATGAGTAAGTAGGACTTCTCTAAGAAGCTGAAGGCTGGCAAGGAATGGGCTTTCCAAACAAGTTGCCTTGCCTTTGCTTTCTGCAGAGAGAGTTGAAAGCCAGACAACTTCTGCTGTGGCTGTTTCGACGATCGCATCAACAGCCCGTTTTCCTTCATTGAAATTCAAAGGTTCCCTGCATGTGAGGGGAGCCTGTTTTTGGATTTGACCCTTTGGAGTCCTGCTTGGCAGAGAAATCCTCCTGTGGGAGGGGGGGAAACGCTCTGGGCACGTTCCAAGGGGCTTGAGGCTTCGCCAAGGCCTTGATCTTGTGTGACTGGCCTCCTCCTCCTCCTCCTCTTCAGAGCGGACGTCCTTCAGTGAGAAGCCCGTGCTGGAGTTGGAAAGCTGGATAGACAAATACTCCGATCAGCTCCCACCGCTCACCTCCTTCATTCTGCCAGTAAGTTCTTTCATGTGCTCTTCCATGTTTTGGACCCTCGGTTCTGGAGTCAGGACAGAACCACTGGACTTGGGCCTCTAGAAACCCTGAAGAGTTTTTCCCTGCCAGGATCACAAATTTAGGCCTTGGCATCCTACATTAAAAAACAAAAAGGCAGCCAGAGGGGTCTTCTTTAGTGAGCCCCTAACCCTTATGATCTTGGGCCAAGGGACTCTACTTTTGTGTGTCTTGTGCTTGTGTTGTTTCAGTCTGGTGGAAAAAGCAGCGCTGCGCTCCATCTCTCCCGAGCCGTGTGTCGCAGAGCCGAGAGGTGGTAAGGGACAGGGTCTGTCCTTCGGTTGGCGAGAACCTGGAGGCGGGTTTTAGAATAAATGCTCCTGTGCATGGAAAAGGATGTAAAAGGTGCTACAGGAGACCCCGGCCGGCTTGTGGGTTCAAGAGTTGCTGATACAGCCAAGGGAGAGACGGGGAAGCTCTCACCTAAGTGGTTGCTATCCAAGCATAAAACCCACCCATTAAGACACCTGGGCTTGAGGTAGGGCAGGCAGAGAATTGTGGCAACACGGATTCCTGGTCAGGATGGTTTCCCTTTTGTAAACTTCATTTGCTTCGTGTCGTCATGGGGTTTGGGCCCCTGTCTCCTTATGCCTTCACAGTGTCGTTCCTTTGGTGAAAACAGGAGAAGCAGACGCAAATGTGGCCAAGTATTTAAACAGGTAACTTGGATTTATGTGCTTAAGCAAGCAGACAAGCGTTGCCAGCCATAACTGCAGCCTAACAACAGGGAGGGTCAATGTAGCTTTCTGCCATATGTGGCAGAGACCTTGGCAAAGGGAGCCGAATACATGTGTGGGGCACACAGATGAGGCCTGGCAGTTCTTTCCCCTATGCCCAGATGCGGCTCCCAGCTCTGGCTGGGGATCTTTCTCTAGCTCTGCTGTCAACAGAGGGAGGGTGACTCTTTTCTTCCTGTCTCCAGGCTGAGTGACTACCTGTTCGTCTTGGCCCGGTTTGCTGCAAAGCAGGAAGGGAAGAAGGAGCAAATCTACAGAAGGATGGAGCCCAAAAACTAAACTCCTGAGTGCATGTTGTGCAACGAACAACTTTTGAGCTGATAGAAGGCAAAACAAAGCGTAAAATCTCGGCAATTTGAAATGCTCAGATCCCTACCTGAAAAGCCAATAGACACCTACAGAAATTCAGTCCAGCTTGTATATGTGAATTCAGAGCAACTGTAACGCCTGAAGATGCCTCTGTGGCTTCTTGGAACACTGGAGGGAATGGAGGCAGGAGATTGAGTTCAGTCCCCTTGGCTCCAGTTAAGCAGGAGGTTGCCTGCCAGTTTCCTTTGAAGCTCAAGACAAAAATGGACCTGGATTTCTTCCCTCGGCCACGTCCATCAGGACGTCTTGTCAACAATCTTGCAAAGTGCAGCTTCTGAGAGACGGGCCTTTTTGGCCAATGGTCCAGAATGGAGCCTTGCCAGTAAGCTCCTTCACTGGCTTCTGTTTTTCCCAGTCATCCGTTTTAAAAAAAAGCGACCGCAGCATTCAACCAATTTTTCAACTTTTATTTCTTGTATTCATGAATTTCCAGTGTGAAGAATGTGCCATAACTAAAAAAATACTAAGTGATCAAAAAGCAAAATATTGATTTGGGGAGAGAGAAGAAAACCGAGAGCTTCCAAGGCTCCTCCTGAAGAGCCTCCAAGGGACGTGAGCACCCAGACCGGAGCAACGGCGGCGCAATGCACGAGGGAGGGATCTGGGCATTGCAAAGCCCCAGTTTGCACCCTGAAGGTTGTGGGAAGTCATGTGCGCCGCTGCCAGGGTTGTTGGGGCTGGCCACTCCTGGATTCCAGAGAAGGGCACCAGAAGTGTGAGGAGGTTGCACCCCTTCCCCCCAAGAGGGCAATTTCTCTGGGAGGCCGGAGGCGGCCACAGGTCAACATCCTATAATCCCTAACGGAAAATCAGGAATGAACCTGTCTGGGCCCAGCCCTTAATTGGGGGGTGGGGGTGGGGTTATTTCACGGCAGTAGCTATGTTCTGAAATGAAAAAGAACTGGACTTAAATAAAAGCAACATTCTCAAAATACCTTGCACTGTCTTTAGTTTGTTACAAACCAACTCTTCTTTCTTCGTATTTCACAACATTTGTGCAAAAAGGCGGCTCGCTTGAGGTTTGTAATCTGTCTTCCTAAAGTAAGCAGACAAGCAGTGCAGCTACCTGGGAGCAGGACCATAATCGGGCCCTGGATACCCTGAGCTGCAGACCCCTGTGGAAAACCGCCACTTAATAGAGCTGGACTGGGAGTGAAAGATGTTTTCCTACGGACAGATTCATCCGATTTGTTTTACAAGGTAGGAAAACGCCGGGTAGCCTCCCTCGATCAGCCTCTTGTGTTTGTTCAAAATCTGTACATGCACGTACACGCACATGCACTCCTAGGGAAGACGAGTGGGAGTGCAGCCAGATCCACAGACGGCAGGACCTCCACAGGCTCCGAGTTCATTCCATGCGGTTTGGGAGACTTCAAAAGGAGGGCAGAACCCCCTGCCCCAGAGCAACAGACAGCGGGTGCAAATGCCCGCTTCCGTCTACACCAGGGCTCTCCAAAGTTGACAAGCCTGGCACAATGGCTGGGGAATTCTGGGAGCTGAAGTCCACAAGTCTTAAATCTGCCAACTTTGGGGGGGACCCCTGGTCTAAAGCCACCTGCAGTTAGCGCTGCCTTCCACAAGGAGCCAAACGAAACTTCCAAAGAGCAAAGTCCCTGAGAGAACTGGCACAGGACTGCCCCGGTCTGCCCAGCAGGTTCCCCCTCACCTCTGCTTATGGGCTTAAAGACCCCACCGACCGCCACTTCTCCCCTCGGCCCAAGTGCCCCCGAGCCCCTTCTGCGCCAGGCCTTCCTGCAGGGAGGCCATTCACGGGGCCCTTGGCGCCCCCGGCAGCCTCTCTCGCTTCGCACTGCAGTCACCTTCCCTGGGTCTTGGTCCCCAACGGATGACCGGTGGATCCCAGTCCCGTTCCTTGCTGGGGAAGAGCCTGGAGGCCCTCAGAGAAAAGCCAAACCGGTTTGGCCAGCAGTTCAAGTTAGCAAAGCTGGGCTGAACAAGGACTCCCGCTTTCGGGTCAAGAGGTAAAGGCAGCCTTGTAGGCTCCAGGCGGGACAGGCTCACCCCCTCTGAGCAGGCCGGGCCTCGCATTCAGCAAGCAGAACTCGGCCCAGTTGGGAAGTTTGACCGGGACAGACGGGAAGAGACACAGCAGCCTGGGGGGCTCTTCACACGGGGGACCTCCTGCCCAGCCCTCCACGTGGCACAACCTCCAGCGACCCCCTGCCCGCAACGGGTAACTGCACAAGGTTTGCAGGCAAGGCTACGTTTAATGGCAGGCCGGCAGCGGTCTCAGGGGAGCGAAGTGGTGCTGGAGGCCACTCCTTTTCTACCTGGGCTCCGGGCCCACCTGGCTCGCCAAGGCTTGCCTGGCCGACTGGGCCCTTCTCTCCTGCCGGGGCTGCTACGAGAGCTCGAAGCCCGTGTTCATGCTGATGGCGTAGCGCAGCTTCTCCCTCAACACGCTCTTCTTGCTGTAGTTGGGCAGCTTCAGGAGGTTGAAGCAGGTGGAGGAGGTGGGCAGGCGCCCCCCCGGCTCCTTCTTCCGGATGGTGAAGAACCCCCGCAGGACGCTGCCCAGGGTGTCTCCCGTGTCCTGAGGGGGGGGGGCAGGAAGGAGTGAGGGGGGACCTCGCCAGCCAAAGACCCTGAACCCCAATCCCCCAAGCAGACCAGCCAGGCTCCCCCTCCTCTCCTTCCTCTATGACCCCCCCAGGAATGCCGGGGACCCTTCCTCCCGAGGGGGCCCGGGGGCTCTGGGTCTGCCCCACGGAACACCAGCGTGCTGCCTTTTGCCTGGGAACGCCAGCACCGCCTGGGGAGGCACCGTCCCTGCCACACACCTGGTCGTCCGACACTTCCACGCACCGGATGGAGAAGGGAGGCTTGAGGTAGACGAAGCCCAGGAGTGGCGGCCGGGAGCAACTGGTAACAAACTGACAGACAACAGAGACAAGAAGGGCAGTCGAAGAGCCGGGCCCAGCGCTGTCTCTGGAGAGGAGGAGGAGGAGGAACCCCCCCCCCCCCCCGGGGTGAGACGGCAGAGCTCAGCCTGAGGACCAGGACTGGAACCCTCCCTGCTCGCTGCCCATGGGCACGCAGAGTCACGCGTGTGCGACGCGGCTGCCCTCACCTTGAGAAACATGGCTCTTTCCTCAGGGCTGAAATCGTTGGCAAGGATGTCCCAGAGCCAGAGGATGACCCTGTGGCTGCCATGGAAGCCCCCGTAGTAGACGGTGTGCTTCCTAGACAGGCAACCAAGAGGGAACCCAAGAGGTCAGGTGGGGAAGGATCCCCGGCCTCCCACTCCCCCCCCCCCCCCTTGAAAGGGCCGGAGGCGCCTGTTGCAATTCACCCCGCCTGCTGGGACTGGAGGTGACCCAGAGCCCCTCCTGGCCTGCCGCAGAAGGGGAGGCTTCCAGGCAGGACAGCCAGCTGGGGGGTCGCTTCAGGGTTTGGGCCCAGCCCGGCCCCGGCCTTACTTCAAGTCCTCCAGGTCGATCTCTGCGTTGTCGCCGGAGATCAACCGCTGCAACTCGGGTGCGGAGAAGACGCGGATCCACTCGGGCTTGATGATGGACCGGAAGCCACCGATGAAGGCGGCCGTCTGGTTCTTGATCTGGGTGTGCATGCGGAAGTGGGCCATCAGGTGGATGTAGCTGATCCTGGCCAGGGAGAGGAAGCCAACGGGGTGGAGAGCTGAGCCCCAGCCTCACCGCCCGTCTCCCCCGAAAGGCCCTTTGGGGGGAGGAAAGCTAAAACGAGCGAAGGCAGCGGCCGGATCCCCCTGGGCTGGGGGAGGCCGGCTGGGGGAGGCCAGCGAGGCGAGACTTACTTGTTCTCGTTGGTCACGGGGATGGTCTTCCCGCCTGGGACGAGCTCATGGCACACGAGCTGGGAGGGCAGAGGAGGGAAGGGAAGAAGGGAAGAAATCAGCCTTTCCTGCAGCAACGGGGGTGGGGCACGCAAGCAGCCGGTGACCCCTGGGAAGCCCGAGGGGCCTCCCACCCTACCTGGCCCATCACGTCTTCATCGTAGGAGAGGGTGAGGCCCAAGTCACTGGTATCTCCTTCGTAGCGCTGCAGGAGGGGGAGGAAGCAGCTGCGTCGCTAAGGGGTTGCAGGGAAGTGGTTCCCCAGAACTTGCCCGACAGCCAGGCTGCCCTGGTCTCCAAATAACCCAGAGAAAGGCCGCCCTTCTACTCGCAACCCCCCCCCCGGCACAGCCGAATACCCCTCCTGTGGGTCCCTTATTGTGCCCCGCCATGTGTGCTGAGGGACCACAAGGGGCTCTGCCCGGTGCAGCCCGGGGCCCACAGGGGTGGCCCCAAGAGTTGGGAGGGAACCTTGATGGAGGTCAGGTTCTTATAGAACTCCGAATCCAGGGAGGGAAGCTCGTCCACCGAGCTGTAGAAGATGCTGTGATGATGGCCGAGCAACTGGCTCAGGAAGAAAGAGGCGAAGGGGACGTCCACCACGATCCCCTAGAAAGGAGGATTGTCTGTAGCGCCCGGTTGAAGTGAGCACTTGCCCAGCTAGGGAGCCCCACCCGCCCCTCCTAGCGCTGACAGCGCTTGCCCAAGAAAACAAGCCAGCTCGGGTAGCACCCAGGACCCCTCCCTAGAAGATGGGGGGGAGGGAGGGAGGGAGGGAGGTCTGCAGAGCTACCAGCCTCTCCCCCCTCCCCGGGTCCAAGGCAGCCTGCGTGCCCCCCCGCTCCCCCTCCCTGTGCTCCAACCGGCCTACCTCGTAGACAGCTTTCCCCAGCATCTTGCCCACAAACTCAAAGAGCTGCAGGAAGTTCTCGTGGATGTAAGCGGTGGGGGAGGGGTACAGCCTCTCGTCCCCGCTGGTGGTCTGTGCCGGAAGAGAGCGGGGGAGCTGAGAGGCTGGACACGGAGCCCCCCGGAGGGGCCCCCGGCCTGCAGCCCTGGAGCCCTGGATACCTTGAAGAGGTTGAGGGCCGGGTCGAAGACCTTCTTGATGATCTCCTCCAGGAACTCCTTGAAGACACCGTCCTGGTCGATGCCCGCCTCGTCCATGCCCAGGTCGTTCACAAACTTCACCCGGATGACCCCCTTCATGGCGTTCTGAGAGAGCTGCCGCAGCTGCTCATAGCCGTCCTGGGAGGTGGGTGGTGGTGGTCAGGATGGTCCCCGGGGTCAGGAGGGGAAGGGCAGGGGGCTCGAGGGCTGCCAACCCTCCAGTCAACCCCTCTCACCTCCAGCATGCGGGACCGACGGATGGTGATGTGGGTGACGTGGGGAGAGGCAGAGCTGGTCTCCACCAGGCCCAGCTGCTCTTTCTCTTTGGTGACCATATTCCGGAAGAGAAGGACCCGCTAAAGGTTCGGGGTGAGGAAGAAGGGGGATTAGCCACAGGCAGAGCCCTCCTCCCAAGGGCCGCGGGGGCCCCCCTCCCCTGAACCGCGTCTGGGTCGGAGGGTGCCCGGCCGTGTCTGTTTCAGGGTCAGGACCTTCCCACCGGTCACACCCGCCGCCCTGGGCTCAGCGTCCACTCACATTCTTGTGGGGGACGACGTGAGGGATGTACTGCAGGACCAGCTGGGCCCGTTTCCGGTCTTTGTCCAGCTCCTGGAACAACAAGTTGGGCTTGAGGTCCCTAAACAAGACAAGACAGACACCACACAGACAGCAAAGTCAGCCGGAGGCCCAGAGACGGGCCTGGCCGTCAGCAGCTGACCGGGGGGCCGCAGGGAGCGCCAGCCCACCAAGAGGGCACCCGGCAGGGGAAGGGCGCTTACTTGCGCAGCCAGTGGTCTTCCGGAGCGAAGCGCCGCCGGCAGTCTCTCTCGTAGAGGACCATCAGCCAGCTGTGGACGGAGTGGAAGAGCTCCAGGGTCTCCGCCTTGGCGTTCTCTGCGGCCGAGAGAAAGGCAGCCTCTCTGAGAGCAGCTCTCCCCACCCCCCACCCACCCCCCGGTCTCTCCGCAAACACAACGGCCCAGTAAAGAGGGGGGAGGGGGAAGAGGGCCGCTGCCCCCTCCCCCCCGGGGACTCACCCAGAATCCCATCCCAGATCATCTTGAAGACGAAGGAGTTCAGGAAGGAGGAGATGGTCACCAGCTCTTCCAGCTTGAAGGAGACCTGCTCTTCGTAGACTTCGATGTCGTCCAGTATCCTGGGGGGGGGGGGGGGGGAAAGGGCTGCACTGTTACCCACACGGGGGGGGGGGGGGTGAGGGAGGCCAGGGCCTCTCAGGGCCCCTCTTGCCCCCCCCTCGCGCAACCTACGTGATCAGATGGCGGGAGCAGTCGCAGAAGAGCATCAGCATGGCCAGCAGCCGCCTGGACTCCTCCGTGTGGCTGTTCAAGCAGTCCAGGAAGACCTTCAGGCCCCCCTGGGGGCCCAGCTCACAGATGAGGGCCCAGAGCTTGGGCAGGAGGTCGTCCAGGTAAGTGAGGCCTGGAAGGGGCAGCAAGAGGGGCAGAGGGAGCAGACCCGGCCCTCTCTTCAAACACGCCCCAACCTTCCCCCTCCCCAAATCAAACGCCAGGACCAACGTTCCCCGGGCAGGTGGGCGGGCAGAGCAAAGCCGAGGCGGGGCAGCTTCGCTAGGTACCCCAGTGGGGCGCCTGAAACCGACCCCCCCTCCTGCAGCACCCCGAACCAACCTGTGAGGATCTGCAGCCGGATCTGCGTGAGGGTGGTCAGCGCCATCTGGTACAGGACGCAGATGCTGCACACCTTCTGCACCTCCGCCGAGTCCACCCTTTTGCCCCCGATGGGCTTCAGGATGTTGCGAACGGAGGTGGATTTCTGGAAGGCGCGTCGGAAGAGGCCTGGCGGGAGGCAACGGTGCAAGGACGCTCCTGCGCTCAGGAACCCCAGGCCGGAGGGAGCGGCGGGTGGGTGACCCAGCTGGGGTCTCTTTAAGATACAGGTAGGCCTCAACTCCCAGAACCCCCCCTCAGCTGGGACCCCCGGGGAATGCTACTCACTCTTCACGGGCAGGCTGTCCTGCGGGGAGGGGGCTGGCGGGGGCTGGCGGGCAGCTTCCGGGCTCTCCAGCAGCTTCCTGCTGATCACGTCTCTGAAGAGGATGCGCAGCATGTGGGCCCCCCAGAGGTGCTGAAGCTGCTTGGTGAGCAAAGGCATCGACTCGTTCAAGCTGGGGAGGAAGAGAGGCGGGGGGGGAGGGAGCGGCTGTGGAACTGGGAGGGGCGAACCCAGCGCCTCCCGCGGGTCTCGGAGCCCGAAAAACGAGGGACACCCCCCCCAGGCAGCCCCGCCTAGTCTTTCCAGCACGCTTGCCTCTGCCAGGCCTGGTTCCGCGGGAGGGGCTTACCCATAATCCACCGCCTGGGAGAACCAGCCGAGGACCGGGTGCCAGTGGGTGAGGTTGGACTTCTTCTGCGAGACGTACTTCTGGCAGTAGCAGAGCATCTGGGTCAGGACGCTGACAAAGGGGCCCGTCTCCTCCTGCAGCACCTTCTCGTTCAGCGACCCCAAGTAGACGAGGTTGCCTGGGGGACAGCAGCAGCCGCCGCCGAGCAGTCAAACCAGCCCTGGGGCAAGAGGGCAGCTCTGCCCCAATCACCACCTGCCCTCCCCAATTCTGTCCCCTGGTACAACTAGGCGGGGAGACGCCCTGCATCCACCTTAACCCAAATGCACAGAGGGTCACCAATATGGCTGCGAAGGGGATCCCTGTGGGCAAGTGCCGCCTGGCCTTGAGGAGGAGGAGGAGGAGGAGGAGGGAGAAAACTCCCTTAGGAGGGCAACCTGGTCTTCCTAATTCCTAGAGCCCCTCCTCTCCCTCCTCTGCAGAGCAGAGGGCAAACGCTGCCATCTTACCCAGAAGGCAGAGCGTGTGGCTTCCTTCCAGGCACACGCAGACATCCCTGCATTGTTCTTTCTGGCTCAGGAAGAGCAGAAACTTGCGCAGGAGATCCTGGGATTCCATCACTGCCAGGCGCTGAAAGGGAAGCAGACGTTCACCCGAGGAGCCTGCGAGAGAGGCTGAGGGAGCGAGCTGAGCTCTCCGTCTACTGTTGGCCAGGCCCTGGCCAAGCAAGGGACACAAACGTCTCCTTAAGATTTCCTGCCAGCTTTTCTCTACAACAGCGTGCAAGCAACTCGCTCCTCTTCACCCCTCCTGAAAAGCCCCAGCCCTGATTTACAGGGATATAATATCACGGATGATCCATACGGCAAACATGAGGCGCCCAGAACAGCCCTGGAGAGAGCAGGGCTCCTCAGCCTTGGCGACTCTACGGCCGTGGACCTCAACTCCCAAGCTCTCTGCTGGCTGGGGAGTTTGGGAGTTGGAGTCCACAGGCCTCAGAGTTGCCAAGGCTTAGAAAACCCGCCGCAGAGGATGCAGGACAACCAGGCCCGTTCTGGAATCCTAGAAAAGGACGCTTCAAACGCCTGGAGAGGAATTGCCTACCTCCGGGGTAAGTGCTGCAAGGTGGCTCATGATGGCTGGCACGGACATGATGTGGATCAAGAAGGATCGCAAGAGGTTGTCAGAAAAGTGAGCCGCAACCACCGGGCTGGGGGAAAGGAGAATATCACAAGGGTTTGGGGAAGTTCCGAGCGCTGCCTCGGTCTCCTTAAAGGTTTCCTGACCAGGACCGAGTCGCAGCTTCGTCTTACCGCAGTGCAAGAGAAAAAGCCGCCGTTAAGGTGCCTTTGGAGAAGGAAGGCTGAGACCTCGCCAAACCGCTGGTCAGCAAAATCTGGGGGGGGGGGGGGGGGGAGAGAGAGTGTTGAACAAGCGTTTCAGGGTCAAGAGTAGGGTCCTCCAACCTGGCAACTTTAAAACTTGTGGACTTTAACTCCCAGGATTCCCAACGTTCTGGGAATCCACAAGGTTTAAAGTTGCCACGGTTGGAGACCCTTGTTCTACATGAAGAAACCACAGTTGGGTGCCATAAAATAGGCGAGCGGACGGAGAAAACCCCCATAAAGCTCTTTCCATCTTTCTCCAGCGAGATTTGCACAGAGCAGCTTACAGCAATGGCTACAAACCTGGAGCACAGAGTAAAACCCTTTTTGGTTGAGATGTCCCATGATATTTGCACAGATGTGATTCATGGCGTGGCGCAGGGCTTCTCCTGCAGAAAGGACCCAGAGAGGAGGACTCAGTGCAGCTCTTCCCTTCGTGGCCAGGCCCTGAAGCCTCAAAGGCCGGGGGACTCTGTGTGTGTGTGTGTGTGTGTGTGTGTGTGTGTGTCCGTCCGTTTCAGAAACTAGATCCAATTGAGAGGTTTTCCCCTCAGCCTTTACACTTTGATGAACACGTTAAGAGTCATCATTAGGCTAAATACTTTTAAAAACATATTTCAAGAAAATTCAAAGCAAAATGACATAAAATAAGGCACCAAGTTGAAAACTCCCAAGATAAACAAAAAGCCTTAGCTTAACCCTCCCTCTCAGAGAAGAGACTTGGGGCTCAAATGCTGTATAATTTATGTAAGAACAAGCCACTCTCTGTAACCAGTCAAGGGGAAATCACCCTTGGCAGGCCAATAGGACACAACTGAAAGAAAAGAAAAAACAAGTGGCATTTTTTGGCAAACAAAGAAGCAGAATTCTGCAAACGCACCTTTTCCCTGCAGGATTTTCCAGGTAGAGGTGTCTGTAAAAGTTACCAACATCGTGAGGTGCAAATTCACCAGTTTTGAATCTTGCAAGATGTCTGGCTAGAAAAATGAACCCCCAGAAAGTTGAAAAGGAAACACTACAAAGCGAAGAGCAAGAGAAAAAAAAATACCTTTAAATAAAAAATCCACATCACAGAAATTGGACCAGTCTGTACCTTGAGCAGCTTCAGAAATTCACAGCAAATCCACAGCACATCCTTCACTTGCTGGATCCATAAGAGAGTCAGCTCCTTGGAGAGTGCAAGGGATACGTACCACACCTGTAAAACGAAAGGGCCACAAGAGCAACTTGGCTCCGTGGGGGAAAGTCCCCCTCCTTTCACTGGATTGAGAGGTCAAAGTTGCACCCTCTTCTCGTGAAACGCAAACCTGCTTACCTTAGGATCGCTTTCCGCCTCCATGCTGCTAAGGATGCAGCGGCACAGCTTTTCAAACCTCTGCAGAGAGCAAGAAACAGACTCAGGGTGAGATGAGATCAGCCTTTACGCAACTGCCAGCATCCACCTTTACTTCTGATTTCCCAGAACTAAATTTAAATGGCTATTTAAACCCATGGAAAACGTCTGACGTTGCTTCCTTCCTGTTGCTTGTCGCCCAAGGGCAACCACAAGGGATTCTTCTGAGGGACCAAGGGACCCAGCCCCTACAGATGCCCTCTCCCCAACAATACCGAGAGTAGCCAAGATTCCAACGTCTGCAAAAGAGTCAGAGACGCTGTACCTCTTTGTCCTGTGGGAGTTTGAAAATAAAGAGCAGCTTTCGGGAGATTTTGAAGAGCGAAAGAGCCGTCTTCTTGGCAGGACCGCTGGTGTGAAAGAAGTCATCCACTTCGCTCCTGCGCCAAAGAGGAGAAGAAACAAGGAAGTCCTAGCACCAGGTGCCTCTAGCGCAGCAGGCAAGGCGTTGAGTTTGGATACAGAGACCCAGGAAGCCGCTGGGGCTCTGTATCTCGACTCAGTGTGTCTCCCAGGCCTCTCGTTCTGGGACTGGAGGTTTTCACAGGTGGCAATAGACGACTTTTCCACTTGCCCAGATACCTGCCACGGGTGAAGTTTCACCGTATTCATAGCTATGCATACCTGATTTTCCGCTGCAGCCGACAGCGGCACAGAAACCTTCGGACGAGGGCCTGGATCCGCACCGCAGCCTGCTCCCGTTCCTTCTGCTCCCGGCGCTCCTCCCGGGCCTGCCGGGCCTTGTCCAGGAACTCGGCCTTGGATGATTGGGCTGCGCCGAACATTTTGGCCTCTGCGAAAAAACGACAAGGGAGGAGACCTGAAGCAGGAGCTCCGAAGCCCCCTTTGCACCCGGCTCCAGGCCAGGCTGCTCAGCCGGTGCCCAGCAGAGAGGCGGCTCCCGTGTGGGGCTCACCCAGGCGGGTGTGCTTCGCAGAAGAGCCTGGAGGTCACCCGTAGACAAACATGGTTCACGCTCGCTCCAAACAGCGGCTTCTTCTGCCTGCTGGGCAGAGCGACCAGTTCATGCCAGGCAGCTTCCCATCCCTGGCCTTGGCTGCTTCCAAACGCTGCTGCTGCTGCTCGATGGGCGCATCGGATGGAGAGGCTGGAAGGAGGGGAGAGAGAGAGAGAGGGAAAGATCGGCCTGCAGAGCCAGGGGGTCCCGGGGGGGGGGCTCTGGAGGGGGCCACTCTCTCCCCCACCCCGAGCCCAAGTTGGGGAAGGCCTCCTGCTGGGTCGGCCGGGGGGCAAACCAAGTCCCCTTCAGGGGCGCCGGGCAGGACAGGGACCACCCCCCCCGCCCGCGAGAGGAGCCCCCTGGGCTACCTGGCCGGGGGCGTGTTGGCGGCGAGGCCTGCGGAGGGCGCAGGGACTCCGGCCGGGCTGCGGGGCTGCTACGGGTCGAGAGCCTCGACGGCGCGCCCCCCAATTCCTCGCCCTCCCCCCCCCCGCCGAGCGCCCGCGGAACTCCGAGGACCATAGAGGTAGGTCAACAGCTCCACTTCCGGCCGTTGCAGCGGAAGCGCCTCCGAAGGCCGCGGCCCGCCCGGAAACGCGCCCCGCGGAGCAGAGTTCCGACCTGCGGCGGAGAGGGGTGGGGCGGGGGTGATCTGCGTCATCCGTTCCTTGCCCCGCCCAGGAGGACCGTCTGGCCCAGGGGAGGAGGGGGCCTCGCGCGGGCTGTTCATGGTGAGTCGGGGGCGCCGGCGGGGGGGGATTCTTCGTCGCCCCTTCCCCGCCCTTTCGGGGGCCTCCCCTCCCGACGGGGGAGGCGGCCAATCTTGGCGGGTGGGCTCCGGGGGGGGGGGGGGAGGGGGCGGGGGGGGGGGGGGCGAATCGTGTCCAGGCAAGGCTGGCCCAGGCGGCGAGGTTCTTCCGGAGGGCATCCAGTCGGTCCCCGCGGGGAAGAGGCGGGCGGGGCGGGAGTCGCTCACTTTTTCCGGGGCTTTTCTCGCCCATCCGGGACTGCTTCCTCCTCCCTCCCTGCCGGTCCAGGCGCCTCGAGAGTTGCGGCCGGGTCCCCGCTTGGGAAGGGCTCCTCCACCCCGCGCCTTGACCCTCCGGCCGGGGCCCTGCTCGGCCCGGGCTCCCTGCGGGTCTCCGGCCTGGGGAGGCTGCAGACGGGCCCTCCGCTCAGAGAGCCCGGATGGCAGGCGGGGAAACGGGGGCTTCTCTCTTCGCCTCCGCGCCCGGAGGAAAGCTTGACTCGCTTAACGGCCGGGAGACCCGAGGCCCAAAGTCCAAGCTCGGAAACCAAAGCGAGGCCGGTGCTGGGAGACGAAGAGGAGGAGGAAGAAAGCGGGGAGGGCAGGTCAGGGGGAGCCCAGATCTCGCCCAGCCCCTGGCCAGGCTGGGGGTCTCAAGGCGGGAGGGCCAGTTGGCCTCTGCCCCTTCCTCCCCCTGAGCCCCTGAGGCTGGGGTCTGCCTAGTGAGCCACTCTAAGGCTCGGGGGCTTCAACTCCCAGAGTCCCCGGCCTCACGGTTGCCCCCCTGGGAGGCCCCTGCCGAGGCCAGAGGGGCCCTGGCCCCCCTCGAGGGGCTTCCCCTGTGAAGGGCTCCGGCCGTTTGCCCCTCTGCTCCTTGAGAAGGGCCGAGAGAGGCCGCCGCTGCCTCTCTTTGGGGGCTTTGGGCTCGAGGGGGGCCCCCTCACCGAGCTCCTGGCCCCGTCCTGGGAATGCAGTGGGCTCCCCCTGAAGGGCCTCTGCTCCTCCAGGAAGAGATGTCCGGAGAGACAGTGGTGAGCACCGCCGTGCCAGCAGCCACGACCCGCACCACCTCCTTCAAAAGCGGCAGCCCCAGCTCCAAGTATGTGAAGCTGAACATCGGCGGGGCCTTGTACTACACCACCATGCAGACGCTGACCAAGCAGGACACCATGCTGAAGGCCATGTTCAGTGGCCGGATGGAGGTCCTCACGGACAGCGAAGGTAAAGGAGCCCGGACAACGGGCCTTTGAAGTCTTCCTTTGTCGTAGCAGCAAAGTAGGGAGCTGGGCGGCAGCACACCTGTGGGTCATACCTTTGCGCAATCGCAGGCGAAGTGTTTGATTTGTTGTGATCATTTGGAAATGGATGAGGGAAACTGGGACAAGAGAATCTCCATTCAGCAGATTTTTCAACCCTTCGCATTTGAGGATTTAAAACTAAGGAGAATGATGAACAGGTTCAAATATTATCAGTTTGACCCCCCCCCCCCCCCCCAAAAAAAAAAAAAGAGTTCTGGTTCCATCAGAATGAAATTTCCAGCTTGCAGAATTGAGAGCTTAACCGGATTTTAGCCGTTTAAGTCCCCTAGTTTAAGACCGCCTTTGCATTCCTCAGCCAGCGCTGCCCTTGTTTGTCCAAGAGCAGTGGCCTGCTTACGCATTTTGTATCCACTCCCATAACATTCTTGTGTCTCTGCCCACAAAGAAGCGGAGCTCATGGAAGCTTTGGGAGGGTTGCCGGCTCCTTTGAGCCGGCGAGTTTTGAGGCTGCCGGCCACGTGACGAAGCCGAACGGCTGAGAGGTAAACAGTGGCGGCCGATGAGCCCGGGAGAGGATTAGGCTGAGCTCGGAGTCTGCCCTCCTTCCCATCCTGGCTGCGCTTTCTGCCTCCTCCTAGGCTGGATTTTGATCGACCGATGCGGCAAGCATTTTGGAACCATTTTAAACTACCTGCGCGATGGGGCCGTGCCCCTCCCAGAGAGCCGGCGGGAGATAGAGGAGCTGCTGGCCGAGGCCAAGTACTACCTGGTTCAAGGCCTGGTGGATGAGTGCCAGGCTGCCCTCCAGGTAAATCCGTTGTGGGTGCTCTGGAGCCAGCCTTTCCCCGCTCTGTTGCACCCCATGGACCGCTCTGGTGGGGAGTGGATGAGGTTCCCACCTGGGAGGGGTGGGGGGAGGCAGGAGGAGGAACAGCAGCCTTGTGGGGCTGGACCCCCCTTGCTCTATTGCGGTTGGTGCCTCTAAGGCACTGGCTCCAAACCTTAGCAACTTTAAGATGGGTTCCTGGCGTTGCTGGCTGGGGAATTCTGGGAGTTGAAGAAAAACCTTTGCAAGCTGCAGAGCCTGCCAAGATTCCTGAGCTCGGCCAGGGAAGGGAGGCCTTGTCCACTGCAAGCAAGGGCCGGCTTCTGCCCGATCGCCTGGCTTCCCCTTCCAGCCCGTCCTCTTCTTTTCACAGAACAAAGACGTCTACGAGCCTTTTTGCAAAGTGCCCATCATCACGTCCTCCAAGGAAGAGCAGAAACTCATAGCCACGTCCAACAAGGTAAAAGCCTCCCGTTCTGGAGGGCCTTCCGGTCACTCTTACGGCTCCGTCTCCCCTTGGAGCTGGGAGAGGAACGGTCCTCCCCCCCCCCCCCCCAGGCGGTGCCCTCCTTCCACCAGATCTTCACAGTGGCCAACTGCAGGGGGGAGGCAAGCCGCTGGTCTCCAGATGTTTTCCTCTGCAGTTCCGACCATCCCCTGCAGGGGGCCAGCTTGCCTTCAACTCCTAGTGGCGACCCTTGGAACTAACAACCCCCAATCCCCCACCCCCGCTTTCTGTGTTTCTGCAGCCGGCGGTTAAACTGCTCTACAACCGAAGCAATAACAAATATTCCTACACCAGGTAAAGTATTTTCAGCACCAAGAAGGGGAGAGTTTGGAGAGGGAGCCGTTGGCCCCTTAGGCGGAAAGGAGGGGAGGGAAACTGGCTAATTGAAGAGCATGGCCTTGTCTCTCCCTTCTGGGTGTCCCTCGGGCCCTTCCCTCTCCTCCCCCCCCCCAGCAATTCGGACGACAACATGCTGAAGAACATTGAGCTGTTTGACAAACTCTCCCTGCGCTTCAACGGGAGGGTCCTGTTCATCAAAGACGTGCTGGGAGACGAGATCTGCTGCTGGTCGTTTTACGGCCAGGGACGCAAGATCGCGGAGGTGTGCTGCACCTCCATTGTCTACGCCACCGAGAAGAAGCAGACCAAAGTGAGTGGCTGACTCTGCCCCCCTCCCCCCCCCCCCCCCCGCTCAGAGGGGACTGTCTATCTAACCCCCCCACCCCCCCCGTTTGGCGCCCCCAGGTTGAATTCCCCGAGGCCCGAATCTACGAGGAAACCCTGAACATCCTCCTCTACGAAGCCCAGGACGGCCGGGGCCCCGACAATGCGCTGCTGGAGGCCACCGGGGGGGCAGCCGGGCGCTCCCACCACCTGGACGAGGACGAGGAGCGCGAGCGCATCGAGAGGGTCCGTCGGATCCACATCAAGCGCCCCGATGACCGCACCCACCTGCACCAGTGAGGGGCTGCAGCAGGCCAGCCCCCTGCCCCCGACTCGGCTGGCCTCCGGCCGGCTGCCTGGACTGTCCTTTTCTACCTAGAGTATTTTTGGAATTCAACCTGTGGCGCCCAAATGGACTGTCCCCCGTGACCGAGTCCGGGGTGCAGGTCCCGGCCTTTGCAGCACTTCTGTTTCCGGGCCTGTTTTGGGTGGGACCAGGCAGCAGCCTCTGGGGGGCTCCGGTCGAGTGGGCTCCTTCCAGGGGGGGTTCTGGACGAGCCTTCATTCCCAGGGGGAAACGCTGTGGCTAAGCCCCCTGGCCACCCATGCAGGGGATGGGAAGGGGGCCTGCTGGGGGAGGTGTTCCCCCTCCTGTTGCCGGAGGACGGAGGGTGGTGGGGCCAGGTGGGAACGTCCCATTTCTCTCCCCCCTCCCCCCCCCAGGATGCTGGTTCCCCTCTTGCCTTCAGTAGATGTTGCAAAGCGCCCCTGTGGCCTTCTCTCTCCTCGCCCCCTCCCCCCCTTCCGATCCAAGACCAAAGGCCTCGTCCTCCCAGCAACGACCTCCTTGCCGTGTCCATGTGTGATTCGGTCTCCTTCATCCTGGGACCAGCAGGCTCAGCCCAGCTGGACCGTCTAAATTAGAAGCCGTTTTGCAGATGGGTAGAACGGGGGACCCGAGGAGGCTGTGCCCCAGCAGTGAGGCTCCCTAGGCATCTCCTCTTGGCCCCTTGGACTCCAGAAGAGCCACTAAGGCGCTCTGGATTAAAGGGGGCCTGAGAAGGGAGATCGGGGGGGCCATTTGCAGCCTCCCACCCAGAGGTCCCTCAGCTCCCCCCCACACACACACAGGGTGAGAAGGAATCGGCAGAATCTATCTTGCTGCACCAGGCGGGATGAGGCGGCCTTTGCTCCGTAACCCTCCTTGGATCAGGTTCCGTTGCATCTCTCCAGTCCTTTATTTCGTAGCAGAAATCCTGTAATTTGGAGTGTAAGCGGCCGGAAACCCAAGATGGGCTGAGTCAGATGTTCTGCAAAGGGTTCAAGGCGGCAGACCAAAGTCCAGAACTAGCTTATTCCCGTTTCCGTTTAAGAAAAAAGGTGGTTAGTTTTATTTGGTGTGTTTCAAAGTTTAGGGACCAGGGTAGCCAAAAAGCAACTGTTGAAAGATGCTGCAAACCAAAACGGGGGTATCCTGTTAGTCGTTCAGTGGATCCCTGGCTGCCTATTAATGCCCTCCCGAGATATTTATTTCCCGGCAGCCTTTTCCCGAGCTGCTATTCCCAAAACATCCGCAAAGTTGTCCTCCTCCTCTCAGAAAGGCCGGGGAGCCGGCCCAGAGGAAGGGGTGCGGTGCGCTGGGTTTCCTCTCTGGCTGTTTCTTGGGGCGAGGGAGGGGCTCTGGGTCCAGGGCGGTAGAGAGGACGATCGATTCCAGGAAGAGGGGCAGCCGGGCTGCTGAGCCCGAAATGAAACAGGGGAACCAGGGAAGAAATATTTGGGGGTGGGTGGGATAATTAGCACCCCAACCCAAGGAAGAAGAGCAGCTGGAAGCTTTTCTTTCTTCAGCCTGCTGGCGAGGCATCTGCCTTAGATCCAATTTGGGCCACCCCCCCTCCCCCCCCCTCCAGAAGGGACCTGAGTGCCTGCATCAGCCTGTCCTGGGGCGATCCAGATTCCAAAAAGAGTTTTGCCAAAGGAAAAGTCCCGTTCCCCCCCCCCCCCCCCCCCCCCCCGCCCCTGCTTTCTGGCCCCCAGGCAGCCGAGGGTCTTGTGAACAACAGACAGGTTGGAAAAGGAGCCCCCTCCCCGCCTGCTTTGACCCTGGAAGCCTCAGCCTTCTCCAAGGAGCCTGTGCAGAGTCACTTCCTCCTCCCTGTTGACATGATTGTTTGTTTTTTTCTGTTTGTGTAAGTGTTACGCATTTGACACAGGATTTTAAATACAGAAAATAAATTAGACGTGTTTCCTATTTCCAGCTTCTCTTGGAGTGCTCATTTAAGACCGTCTTTTGAAAGAGGCCAGGGAGCAAAACCAGAGTTTTAGCAGGAAGGCAATTTTTAATTTTTCATAAATACATCACAGGTTGCTAATACGGACAATAACGTGGGGTCGTAACTCCAGGAACAGAAATACCTTATTCGCTTGTCTTGGAAGTAGAACCTCAGTTTGCATTTCACAAACGGGGGTCCGATATTCACCGGCCTCCGTCGACTTTGCAGAGAATTTGGTTGAACACAGACGCACTCGAGACACAGGGCAGAGTTTCACAGCCGGCCTGGGGGCTCCTCTTCCGGCCCTGCTTAGAAACGGCGTTTTTTAGGCTGAGATTCTTTTCTGGAGTTCTGCATTTTAAAACCGGGGCTTGGGGCTGTTTGGTGCAGTTAAGGGTTAAGTTATTGCCAACTGGAATGTGGAAGCCAGGGATCACGACAACCTCAATCAGGCCCCGATCTAGGCACCAGTTCTGGGCGAGGTTCACGGAGGCTGTTACGGGGCCTAAGGACCAATGGGTGGACGTTGTTCACGATGACTCTCCACTCCAGCAACCTGACCACATCAGCGTCTGAGCGGGTTGACGAAGACGCCTCCCTTCTCCACAGAGGCCATTTCAGGGACTTTCTTTCCAAGCAGACGGAGTAACGGAAAACCCTCGGTCTGGGTTTCCCCCGTCAGGACTTCATCTTAGTCGACACCTTTGGGGTTTAAACAGAACAAGAGTTATTTCAAGATAGCTTCTTCACCACTCTGAGGACCTGCAGCCGGCCAGAAAGCTCCTGCAGCCATGGAAAGAAATAAGAAAGGAAGGCCTTTTATTTTTTAAAGCAAAATGAATTAACAGAGGTAGATTGCCTCAACGGAACCTCCTTCCACCTTTTGAGGCCCGGCTGGCCAGGGAGGGAAATAGCATTCAGGCTTGGCCGGATGGCCTGGAGCACCTTGGATTGATGCGCTCGGGAGGCTCACCACTGTGAGTTGTCCGTTTTTGGCTTTGTAGACGTGAGGCTCCTGCCCGGTGGTGAAAACCATGGTTCCTTCTTTCCCGGGGCTGATCTGGAACTGGAGGCTGTTACAGAAGAGGGGGAAACCAGAGGGCATCTTCCAGGGCCTGGTGGCTTTGGCCGCCTCTGCAGCAGAGCCCCGGCAGGGGAGGAAGACGCGGGGGGCTCATCCACAGCACCAGGCCACAGGCCAAAGGGTCTCCCCCCACCCCAGCCCACCCCTGTGAGTCAAAGCAGGTCTTGGTTGAGAAAACAAACATTTTGGAACATTGAAGGAGGGAGAGATTCAGGCAGTAACTGCTGTGCATTGTGCAAGGGAAGTCTTAGGTTATTCGCGGTTTCTTCGGTGGGTTTTATTCAAGTGGTGTTAAAAGACAACCCAGGCCTCCCAAGGCTGCCGAAGCAAAGGCAGCCCCCCCCCCCCCCGCCTTACCTTCCCTGGACCACGGCCACCAGGTCCTGCTTATGGGCCAACATGCAGAGCTTGGTGACGGTCTCAAAAACGTGCTCGCACTGCAGGATGGCATCTCCCTGCAGGGAAGACCGGAGGAGGAGGAGGAGGAGGGTTATTTCCGATCGCGTCCTGAAGCGGGAGGGTCTCCAGAGGAGCAGCTCCCCCTCACCTTCTCCTGCTTGGGGTCTTCTGGAACGTGAAGGACCACCAGGCCGTCGCTGAGGCTGCTGGTGGAAATGCCTGGCAGGGAGAAGGGACGGAGAGCGCGTCACACGGGCGCGAAGCGGCGCTCCTCCTGCCCCACCACAGGGTAACTTTTAGGGAAACGTGGGAGGAGTTTCCACTCTTCCCCTTTTTTTTAGAAAAAGAAGGGCTCATCAACCAAGCTACGACTTCCACGCCCCTGATTCTTTTCCGAGGTGACACTGCAAAGATGGAGCTCTTGGTTCTTGTTCCGACATGTTGGAGCCTTCCTGTCCCCGAGTCTCCCCTTCCCAGCCGGCCTCCACCCACCCTCGGATCCATTCAGGCATCTTTCCTTGTCTTCAAGGGACGGGCTGCCTTCCAGGTATGGAGGAGGAGGAGGATCCTCCGGGCCCAGACCAAAGCTCCTCGCTTCTGCACCAGCCCTCCCAGACCCAGGGCAGAATCCAGCCCCGCCCTCCCTCCTTCCCCTGGTGTGTGTGTGTGTGTGTGTGTGTGTGTGTGTGTGTGTGTATCCAAAAGGGACGAGGACCGAGTCCACCTGCCACAGAGAAGCGGTTTCAAAGGCTACCTTTGAGGGCGGCGTACTCAATCCTTTGCTTGACCTTGGCCGTCTCCACCACGTAAGCTGCCACCCGGGTCAGGACCAGCAGTCGCTCTCGGGGCTTGAAGCCATTCCGGTCATACTTCACCACTGGGGTGACATACTGCAAAGCAGCACAAGAGACGAGAGGCAGCTCAAGATCCGCAGCAGGGAGCCAACCCTGGGCGCGGCCCGGACCCACTTACCTGTGGGGCGCCACCCTCTCTGCCTTACCTGGACCTTCTCGTGGCGGATCATCTGCAGGACTTTGGGGCACAGGTCACTCTCACCTAGGAGGGAAGGGGGCAGGAAGCTCTTCTGAGGTCTTCGAAGAAACGCTTGGCACGCCAGAAATGGGTTCCCCCCCCCTTCATTATTTCATTTAAATAAGAACTTATTTTTCCTGCTGGGCCAGAGAACAGAATAACAGAGTTGGAAGGGACCTTGGAGGTCTTCTAGTCTGACCTCGAATGACCCTGTGCCATTCCGGACAAGTGGCTGTCTCTTTTTAAATGCGTCCGGTGGCGGAGCAGCCGCCACTTCTGGTCCCCTGATCGATTGCCCTCATTGACCGGAAGTTCCTCCCGGGTTCCAGGTTGCTTCTCTCCTTGATCCGTTTCCCTCCGTTGCTGCTTCTCCCGCCTTCCGTTTCAGGTGCTTTGGAGGGTGCGTGGAGCCCCTCAGGTGGTCCTTGGACCCCTTCCAACTCCGCTATTCTATGCTTCCCCCAAAACTCTTCCCCCCACCCCCCGCAATTATTTCCAGGCAGTCAACAAGGGAGAACCCTCCCCTTGAGTCCGGCCAGGGTCTCAGTAGGGTCTGCCCGGCTACTCACTCAGCCGGCTGTCCACGAAGGGCTGGTTCAGACTCTCCACGTAGCCAACCTTCTTCCCAGAGAAGATGGCGCTGGCCACGGCTTTCTGCTCCATCTGTTGGGGAGTCGAAGAAGAGCTCAGGCCCCCTTCACCCCTCCCAGGATGCCTGGGAGAGCCTCAGGAGGCCAGGAGCCCCGCCCTCTCACCTGGGCCTTCTGCTCCGCGGTCATCCCGCAGCAGTATTTCCGGACAAGGTTCCTCTTGCAGATGGTCTTCAGGAGAGCAGAGGTCTGGGTGGCAGAAGGGGAGAAGGTGGACATGAGGTGGACACTACAACCGCCCGCAGACCCCCTGGGGAGGTTCTGTTCCCAGGGGACCAGAGGGTGCCCCAGCTCAACCCCCCCCCCCCAGGTTTGCAGAAGTCAAACGTGGACCTAAGTTTAGGAGCCCCACTCAATCTGTCTTTGCCTCCGCTAACCTCAGAAGGGCTGGTGAGACCCAGCCTCCCGCCCTGGACTCTGCAGCAGACTGCCCCTGAACAGGGAGGCTCCCCGCAAGCCCGTTCTCACTTGTTGCATGATCTCTGGAGGCTTAAGCCAGCTTTTGTCCAGGACGGTCTTTGGAATGTGATCCCTGAGTTTCATGAGGTAGGTGTACTGCACAAACCTCACAAAGTCCACGTTGTCGGCGTTCAGGGGTTCCCTCCGGTGAATGAAGCCTTTTAAGAACCTTCCCAAGGGAGAAAAGTAGCATTCAGGACCTTCCTCCTCCTCATCGCCCCCAGGCATCTTCCCAGGTGTAGACCTGCATGTGTGTGTGTGTGTGTGTGCGCAGACATCCGTGCAGGACACGGAATAACCGGATGAGCAGGGGCCCCCCTCCCGGCTTCTTCTGAGAGGCAACGCAACGGGAGGGATGGTCCCAGGTAGGAAACTTACCTATGGATTGTCTCCACTGCCCACAGTCTCTTCTTGGCCAGCCTGCGTGCCAGCACCCCCCTCCAGGCCGCCTCCAGCAGGATGGCTGCAAGGCAGAAAGCATCCCTAGCTCACCTGGGGGAGCCTCCCTGCCAGCAGAGGAAGGGCGAGCCACGCAAGTTCTCACCAAGGCTCCCAGCGGTTTTCCCTGCCGGCCAACTGATCCTTACCGGCTTGTCTCATCTTCTGGAATTCCCGCTTCCCGAGGCAACCTCTGAATTTGGCTTGTATTCTGGAAACTGAAAAGAGGGGGGGGGGAGGAAGGTGTGCTGCCCTGAAGGAGCTGCCAGGTGAAAGTCGCTTCTGTTTCTTTGGGGAGCCCTTGGTGACTTCCCGTGGGGAAAGGAGCAGCCAGACTGCATCACTCCGTTTTCTTTCCCAGAACAATCACTTCTAACTGCAAATTCCAGCGACAGAAGCTGGGACTTCCTAGCCTAGGATGCTCTTCGAAACTGAACCAAGAATTGCGATGCATCAACAGTCTTATTATGTTCTAATGGGACTGGAAGCAAGTAGCTCTTAGAGATCTTTCCCATCATCCAAACGACCCGGCCTCTCTAATGAAGAGAAGCCAGAGATTGAGGGCGGGACCACCTTAAGGCAAAGAAGACCACCCCCAACAATTAACCCTAAATAGACCTGGGTATTGGCTTGCCAGGCTAAACCTGGAGGCTCCCATTTGGCCAAAGCTGGGAAGGAGGATCAGGAAGGGCTGCGCTAAATAGCCCAACGGGGACTTTAATCCTGCAGCCCGAGA